TAGAGTGTCTGAGTGAAGAGTCTGAACAAGGGGGGAAATATGGGAGGTCAGCGGTAAGACACCTTCCAGGCCGCCCGGGGGCACGCAGAGTGGATAGGGTGCCATCGGGGTGCAGGCGCACTGGTGCACCCAGCTGCACGCCGTGACCCTCGCCCCACCCCATCCCCTCTGCAGGCAACTGGGCCGGGTCGGGAGGGGACGACCTGCCCCGGAGACACTCCATATACGGGCCCGGCCCGGGTTACCTGGGCTGGGGCCAGGCAGCTCCTTCTTTGGTCAGCGCGGGGGGCCCAGGCCGAAGGAGGGGGCTGTAGTGCCCCAAACCCAAATATGGCTCGAGAAGGGCAGCGACATTCCTGCGGGGCGGCGCGGAGGAAGCGCCCGCGGGCTATATAAAACCTGAGCTGGGGACCAGCGGCCACCGCAGCGGACAGCACCGAGAGAAGCTTCGCTTCCCTCCGTGGCGACCGGGGCCTCAGCCGGAGAGCAGCGAGTGTAGCCACCCGCCCAGGTAGGGCAGGAGTGGGGAGGGGCCAGGGACAGGGGCTACTGCCGGAAAGCCAAAGGACTCGGCAGAGCCAGCGGGCTCACCTGGGCAGCCTCAGGCCTGCCCTGCACAGGGTGCGTCCTCTCTAGAGCCGCTGACGGTGAGAAGAGAAGACAGCTGGCCTCTGGAAAGGTCTCCAGATTTGATCCTGCGCCCTCAGGCCGCTCCACCTGGCATTATGATGTGCCTAGGAGGAGAGCCCGTGTGGGGATTTTTAGCCGGGCACTCCCCTCCCACCCAAGCCGCCGCTGGCTGGGCTCACCAGTGGGTGAAGGCGTCACTTCATAACTCCTAAATGCCACCGGGGTCCAGAACAGGCCATTGCCCTCTGGATGGAGGGACAAACTCCCCAACATCCCCCCACACACATCCAACCAGCAAGCACAGAGCTGAGCCCCAAACCCCTCCCTACTTGACAGGCGAGGCCAAGCAGGCCAGAGAGAATGGGCAGCTAGCACCTAGTTCACCAAGCAGGTGGCCTGCAGCAAGGCATACTGAGGGACAGTGTCCCAGCCCGGAGTCTCCCAGCAAAGTCCTGAGCCTAAGGGCAAAGCCGGGGGAGGCCTTCTGGTTCCTCCCTGCACGGTGTGCTGGGCTCAGGACTTGGGATGTCCTCGGTCCCTGGGGAGGGAGCGCGTGTGGGCCGTCAGGGTCTTGCCTGGAAGTTCCTAGTGGATCCTCTCTGGTTCCTCCCTGCAGGGTGTGCTGGGCTCAGGGCTCAGGGCTTGGGATGTCCTCGGTCCCTGGGGAGGGAGCGCGTGTGGGCCGTCAGGGTCTTGCCTGGAAGTGCCTACGTTGACCTGCCCGCCTGTGTCTCCACTGCAGAAACCAGACACCATGTGTGACGAGGACGAGACCACCGCCCTTGTGTGCGACAATGGCTCTGGCCTGGTGAAAGCTGGCTTCGCCGGCGACGACGCCCCTAGGGCCGTGTTCCCATCCATCGTGGGCCGCCCCCGCCACCAGGTCAGGCTGCCCTTCTGCGCAGGGGGCAGGGCCAGGGCCAGGGCCGGCCCAGTTTAACTAGAGGCTGTGGTAACATGTGCTCGTGTGCTCGGGTCTCGCTCCGCAGGGCGTCATGGTGGGTATGGGTCAGAAAGACTCCTACGTGGGCGACGAGGCCCAGAGCAAGCGAGGTATCCTGACCCTGAAGTACCCCATCGAGCACGGCATCATCACCAACTGGGACGACATGGAGAAGATCTGGCACCACACCTTCTACAACGAGCTGCGCGTGGCCCCCGAGGAGCACCCCACCCTGCTCACCGAGGCCCCCCTCAACCCCAAGGCCAACAGGGAGAAGATGACCCAGATCATGTTTGAGACCTTCAACGTGCCCGCCATGTACGTGGCCATCCAGGCTGTGCTGTCCCTCTACGCCTCCGGCCGTACCACCGGTGAGTGCCAGCCACCGTCTGGGCGCGGGTCCCCAGCCCTGCGCCAGTCCTGGCCACAGCGGCTGGCGCGG